TAGTTAATTCAATGGATGGATGGACAAATGGATGGACTGATGGAAAATGAATGAATGAATGAGCTAAGAATTCTCATTTGGAATAGACCAAACATGTAAACCCTTTCTTAGAATGCTGATTAACAGCCTAGACTCCAGAGCCAGACTGGGTTTGCATCCCTGCCATTCACAAGCTCTGTGTCCCTGGGAAAGTCATTCATCCTGCAGCTCAATTTTCTCATCTATGAAATGGAGCTAGTAATAGTACCTACTTGTGTTAGTTTGCTAGGGCTGACGTAGTAAACCACCACAAACCGGGTGGCTTAAAATAACTGAAATGTATTCTCTCACAGTTCTGGAGGCCAGAAGTCCAAAATTAAGGTGTCAGTAGAATCACACTTCCTCTAGAGACGCTACGGGAGAATTCTTCCTTGCCTTTTCCCACTTCTGGTGGTCCTTGCCTTGAGGTAGCATTAACTCAAGTCTCTGCCTCTTTCTTCACTTGGCCATCATCTATCTTCTGTGTCCATGTGACTTCTCTTCTCATAAGGTCACCAGTCATTGGATTTTGGGCCCATTCTAATCCCTTATGACCTCTTCTTAACTAATAATATCTGCAAAGATTGTATTTCCAAATATGGTCATGTTCTGAGGTTCGTAATGAACATCGGTTTTGGGGAGACACCATTCAACCCGCTCCATTACTTAATGGAATTGTTATAAGGATTACATAAATTAACATAAGGACTTATAAAATTAATACATATTAGGTGATGAATAATATAATTAAGTTAATATTAAGTGCTTGTAATCATGTCTAACTTATAGCCAAAGGTATGAAGTATTACCAGTGTTGGCACTCTGAAAATGCTTATTCTTTCCAATAACTGCTTTCTGTTGAATAATATCAATATTCCACTGCCAGTAAAGATGCTGAGTTACTAGATTAATTCATAATAGTGCTTGACTCTATCCCTGAAGCTATTTCCTTGAAAAACATACATGATTCATATTCCTAGTAAAATGATTAAGTAGACAGGATATTAACTGGTAACAAAATAAGCTTCCATTTTCCAAATTCCTCAGATTTTGGTCACCCAGAGGAAAAAAAGTGTTGAACAACCTGTTCATATTCATTTTTGTGCAACTAATTCCTTAGGCAGTGGCTTTGTCTGTGTGACTTTCCATGTGGCGGAGCCCAATTTGTCTTTGAACCTAATTTCCTCCATAGTAGTTTGTTGATGTTTTTGGATGCATCTTAGATACAGCATCAAAAGAGGCATTGTTTTGATACAAGATTATCAAAAGGTTAGAAAAACAAGCTATAGACTATGTTAAGGGTAAGTCCTAGTTATTCCATGAAATGACGGCAACGAGATACAACCCACTGATACTGAGTCTAGTACCAAATACTGTGTTTTTTACATGAAGGATATAAACAACAATGCCTAAGTATTATATACTCTATATGGGAAAAATTGGGGGGAAAATGGTTAAGAACCCAATATTTGCCCTGCCACTTATGCAAGGTTATTTTAGAGGAGAGAGAGTAAGAAGCTGTGAAATGAAAGCAAATAATTCATTATTTGTACCACATTTATTTTGTTCACCAGTGTGTATCCAGATATTGACACAATGACTAACACATAGTCGACATTCAACAAATATTTGAGGAAGGAAGATATGGCATATTGCTTGCTGATGGCTAAGAGTGAAAGGAAGAACTTATTGGGGGCTTTATAATGTCACTTCCTAAGATGTAAATTTTCTTCAGGGCAGTCTTCATTCCCCTCTTCTTGCTTTTTCTCTATCTTTTCCCCCTTTTTATTTGAAGTGGGTGGTTGTTATGGTTTTGGTGTGGTAAGCATGTTGGTATGTAACAGAGCCAAGGAAAGTGAAGAAAATTAATATCTGTTTTTGCTTGTACTTCCTAAAATTCTGAGGCAGTCAGTTAGCTATCTCAGAGAATTGTTTGATATCAGGATTGTTGAAAAAAATAGATATAATGAAGGCGTCCACCAGAGAATTTGTTTCAGTAGAGCAGGAATTCTTAAATGCAAGTTCATGAGCAGGCTTAGCGCTCCTGAGCCACATGAAATTATGTGCAAATTGTGTATGCAGATGTAGATTTGGCGTGTGTATGTGCAATTGTTGATGGAAGATAATTCATTCACCATCCTTTATTAGTCTCGGAAGAATCCAGATCCCAAATAGGTAGAGAACCACTGAATTCAAAGATTTGTTTTATACTGATTTTGTTTTGTTTTAGAGGTTTGGATGGGAAAATTCTGAGGAAACTTGAGAGGAAATTGGACAGTGTATGGAATTATTAAATCTTTCCAGATAAGGGATCAATTCAAAGGCTTTTCTTCTTGAATTCCAACACCTCTTTTTTAACATCTTTAGCTGCTGTTGTTATGTACTCCACATTGGAGTTTGGGATGCTTAACTCACAGTTGTTATCTCTGGCAGTTGAAATATCCAGGCAGACTGATGTCATTTGTTCCCAGAACGGCATCAGAGCCCTTCTGGGCAAATTCACTGATAAGTCATTGAACAGGCACAAAGAAGATGATATTTTATGGTGCAATGAGCCATCCTTGCGTAGCTAATTTAGTTCTAACTGAACTTATAAACAAAAAACTAACCTCTAAATAGTGATCCTCTTTAAAAACTGCATTCTGTTTTTCTTTAAATCCCTGGAAACTTTGATTCGTCCTTTGTTTAACTTGAACCTTTATCTCTTATCATCTGCCTAAACCTCTGCTCTGATTAAATGATTTTCATGCTTATCTCAAATTCCAATTTTATGTTATTTTAAGTAATAGCTATGTGTGCTCTCAGACACCTGACTCGGTGACTTAGTTTATCTGGTATTCACCTTTGTATCTATCAGATTCTCAACTTAAACTGCTGCTGCTGCTGCTAATAAAGCCTCTTGTATTATTCCAGGCAATAATTTGATTAATAGTTATTTCCACCCAATTTACTTATTTGTTGATTCGTTCATTCCCAAAACACTTATAGGCACTTGCTATATGCCAAGAATGCTTCCAGTTGCAGGGGAAACAGTAAGATGAAGATTACACATGGAGTCACATTGCCTTGTGCTGAGTCAAGGCTTGTGGCAACCCAAACAGGCCAAAGAGTGAAGCCTCCTTAAGCATACAATCTTTATGTAAGTTGGGTTACTGTTTATTTAAAGCAGTGGTTCTCAACTAGGAAGACTTTGCCCCCCTCCCCCAAGGGACATTTGGCAACTCTGGAGACACTTTTAGTTATCAGAAATAGGGGATACCACTGGCACCTGGTCAGTAGAAAATGCTGGTAAACATTGGACAATGAACAGGACAGTCCCCTACAGCAAAGAATTATTCAGATCAAAATGCCAATACTGCTGAGGCTGAGAAGCCTCAATTTAGAGGCACAGTAGTGATTGAGAAAGGCTCACTACTGTAAAAGAGAAGGGGGCAGGTGACTCCAGAGGCAGTCGCCTCGCCTCTGAGGTTCTGAGCAAGTTGACTCTTAGTGAATTGACCCACACTGGAACCAAAGACCCTTCTGAGGGGTAGAATTTTCTTCTTCTCAATTACATTTTCATGAAAGAATTAGCATTCCTGTCTTAAAGACTGGCATCTTGGCTGCTGTCCAGTTGCCTGCTCCTTAATCTGCCTCCTCTGCATATTCTGAAGGGGCTGATAATTTAGGGTGGAAGAAGGACAGGTATACCAAAATCTGTGATGTTGTGTGGTAAATACAAAGCGAGTTCAATGAAATTAATACTGGGAGCATTGAGAAACTAAACTCCACCTGGGGGATCTGGGCAGGCTTCACGGATGAGGCGGCATTTGAACAAAGTGTTTGAAGGCAGTGTTTACCATATGGCTGATAGAAGACACTTTTCTCTTTTAAGCCATACCCTGCATGATTGCATTTATAACTGGTGATAAGATGTATCTGGCTGCTCTTTCAGGAAAACCTGCTTTTGTATTGTACTGTATTAAGCAATACTTCTTTACAGATTTTGCAGGCCCAGCTTTGCAGTGTCTTTCCCCTCACCATCTTTCTATCAAAGATTTCAATAGCAGGTGGTTTCAACTATGAAATTATAGATGTGAGAGTTTAGCAGTAGTTAAAAGCTGCAAGCTTTCAGTGAGTGAATTACACGTCTTGTTTTAAAATTTTATATATATTTCTTCCTTTCTGCTGCTGCTCCAACATATGGCTATGTACTGTAGGAAAATCCAGTAGAACATCATTGCCTGCAAATTTCTGTTAGACTATTAAGTACAACATAAAATGGGTTAAGCATGGTGGCTCATGCCTATAATCCCAACATTTTCGGAGGCCAAGGTGGGAGGATTGCCTGAGGCCAGGAGTTCAAGACCAGCCTGGGAACATAGCGAGACCCCTGTCTCTAAAAACTAAAAAAGTAGCCTGGCATGGTGGCGCATGTCTATAGTCTCAGCTACTCAGGACGTTGAGGCCAAGGATCACTTGAGCCCAGGAGTTCGAGGCTGCAGTGAGCTGTGATTGCACCATTGCACTCCAGCCGGAGCAACAGAGTAAGACCCTGCCTCTAAGAAGAAGAAGAAGAATGCCATTTTGAATCTATTAATTGAAAAACTTGCTGTGATAGATATGGATAAAAGGAATAGACGTTACGTTTCTGCTACAAGAAAATAGTGGGGTCTTCATAATGTAATTATCAATAACTTACAGAATTTCTCTTTTCCCTCTGGAAATTGTGTGTTGATTTAAGGTGCCTGTACATTACAGGAAATTTTCTCTCTCAATTCAGAATGAACTCTGACATCACACAAGGGATAACATTGTACTCTTGAAGCTAACTTCTAAAAAATGCGTCCTTTTCTTGGTTCTTTTTACAAAGAACTTTTATTCATATTTTCATTGTTAGAAATAAGAGTTCAATTATTTTAGTTTGGACCTTAAGCTGGATAGTTTATAAACATGCATATTAGCTTCTTTTCTCATCAAAATGTTTTTCTTTTCCATTTTAGTCTGATGCCAATGCAAGTTACTTAAGAGCAGCTAGAGCTGGACACCTCGAAAAGGCCCTCGACTACATAAAAAATGGAGTTGACATCAACATTTGCAATCAGGTTGGTTGGAGTTATTATTGAATATTTTACTTAAAATTCTAAAAATCCAGACTTCAAAGTCCTTAAAGACTTTATTTTTTTGCGAGTTCTTTTTTTTTCCATAGAATTTTATCAGCTTGCCATTGTCAAATTATTCCCTGTTAGAGGAACATTCAGAAATGTCGGCATATGTCCCTTAATAATTAATTTCTAAAATTTAGTAAACAGTGATAACAGAACAACCCATCTGGTTTTCAAGTACTTTGATTCCTAATTCAAGATTCAAGTTCCCGCACTGCACACATACAAGTGGTCATCAGGTGGGACATTATAATAGCTCAGGAGTCCTTGGTAGACTGTTTACTGCTCTATTTTCAGCCTGCTGAGTAAAGCTTTTCCTTTATTTTAATCAGAATGGATTGAACGCTCTCCATCTTGCTTCCAAAGAAGGCCATGTAGAAGTTGTTTCTGAGCTGCTACAGAGAGAAGCCAATGTGGACGCAGCTACAAAGGTCAGTATCATGTATCTAATGCTTTTTGTACCACTCAGCATGTTCTGTGAGGATTCAGCCCTCAGTAAGAATGGGCGCACAACTCTCATAAGATATTTGTCAAATGTGTTCTTTTTGGGAAGAACAGAAAAATTCAAAAGCTCGATGAGTTGATAAATCTTGACTTTCATTTCACAGAAAGGAAACACAGCATTGCACATTGCATCTTTGGCTGGGCAAGCAGAGGTGGTAAAAGTCTTGGTTACAAATGGAGCCAATGTCAATGCACAATCTCAGGTAAGTCTACAACTCCATGCCATAGACATTGTGTTATCATTTACAAGCAATGTTCTTTGGGTCAGGTGCCTGCTTAGTTCACATGTCCTCTAAGAACACAATATTTAAGAACTATATTTAAAAAGTTATATTATTGCACACTTTGGAAGGCAAAGGTGGGCAAATCACTTGAGGCCAGGAGTTTGAGACCAGCCTTGCCAACATGGTGAAACCCTGTCTCTACTAAAAACACAAAAAAATTAGCCTGGCGTCATGGCACATGCCCGTAATCCCAGCTACTTGGGAGGCTGAGGCATGAGAGTCACTTGTACCCAGGAGGCAGAGGTTGCAGTGAGCCGAGATTGCATCACTGCACTCCGGTCTGGGTGACAGAGCAAGACTCTGTCTCAAAAAAAAAAAGTTAAATTATTGCAGATTATTTAAATTCATGTGTGTTTTCATTTGTTATATATATATATATATATGTGAGAGAGAGAGGTTTTTAAAGCGGTCTGTCTATAAAAGATACTAGTCATAGATACAAATGTTTAAAGGGTATCTGTAATGCAGGGTCTTACACTATTTTATGATGCTAGCTTAGGTTCGATCTTTTTAAAAACAAGCAGAAGGAGCTTTAAAAGTGCTCAAGTTTAAAAATTTTCAGATTCTTTGTAATGAACATAGGTTCGATAAATCTTTCATGAATTTCTAAGAGGAACACCAATACGTTATCATTTGACAGACTTCGAATCTAGAAGAATTAACGTTGCTTTATTTTGTTTAAAAATATAGGTCCTCATTATTCAAGTATTCATTATTTGAGTCTCCACAGACAGGTCATGTAGGAAAGTAAACATCATCGTAATTCAAAAATATTCACTAAGAACATGACCGCATTTAAAACTGGTTCCCACTCAAACATTCCTTCCAGTCGAATGCTGACTTCCATCCTTATTTGTCAGTGTCTCCCAGGGGTGTTAGATATTGAACAAATTGATTGCAGAACAAAACTGCAAGTTTTGACAAAGACACTAAGTTTCCTGAAGTCAAGGAAAGTGATTTGGAGAAATTCTGGGTGCACAGCTGAGCTGTGGGTACGCAGTACTCTGGCAGCATTAGGCTAGGAAGCATGTGAAAAGTTAGGATGACTTCCTGATAGCTGTTTCATATAAGAATGATTTGAAAGTACATAGATTAAATGAAGACAAAAAGATAAGTGAGATCTCTGGATGGCAAATACTTCTCCCAAAAGACAGTCTTTTTTGCTTATGCTATGAAAATTAAAAAGTGAAGAATGTTGACATATATCATTTTGTTGGGAAAAATAACACTTGGTTTAGTCTATGTTCATTCTGAGAACTTATACATGAATCCAGTTATAACTTACATTTTATTAAATCATATAAGCCTATTTTTATAATTTCCAGTTTTATCTTTTAAGAGTAAATCTGAATCAAACTTTAAAAAGATTATTTACTATGGCCTTTTGCTCTCCATTTTAAATGCACTTGATTTTTCCAGTACTGATTATCGTTGGATATCGGGAGTCTCCTCTGTTTTATGGGTTCACAGAATTGTAGTGACTTCCTCCCCTGTTTACCACAGACATAGCAATGATAGCTCTGATGCCATCAAATGTCAGAGTGAAAGAAAAGAAACTACACAGTGCTTGCAACTGCATGGTTCTTGTATATTTGCTCTAAATTCATTCTAGTTCCCTGTGGTTGGACCTTTGTTACATGATCTATGCCAATTATTCTGATTCCCTAGGAGAGTTCCCTTGGAGTAATAACGTTTTTCCAGAAAGGAATGGTGTAAAATTGGAGAGCAGCAAGTGTGGTACTTTGAGAGAGATACAGACCAGCTTACTACAATAGAAGCATCATGCTTTTAAATGGATGTTTTTCCAAATACCCCAATAATATTTTACTGAATTATGGCTAGGTAGTTTTAAGCTCTGAGATAGTGGGAAAATTCTTTAATCCATTTTCATTTGTTTTATTATTTTCTCAAGGGAGGAAAAAATCGACCTCCTTCTTTCAAACATCACATCCATTATTGACTAACGCTTAGACTAGCCATAGTTTTGAACTGGCTTGGCAATGCTTGGGAGAAGCTGCAGTTGAAATAAAATCCTAATCAGTTCTAATTTCAATTTGTACACATTCCACACTGATGATGCAGTAAGAGAGAATATGTGAAATTCCCTGTTACTTACAGTTGTGCTTGGAATTACCAGCCACACATGGCACAGCAAAGCATTTCCCCCTTCATCTGAACACCTGCCCTCATATGCCTTCTGAACAGCATTGTTCTGTGAATGGAATAAGTAATGACATGACCTTGCAGAGGAATGGAGTTTCTATGATAATTACTGGTAACAACTCTTCAGTAGGAACTGTTATAAAGAGTAACAAGCAAGGATGTCAACTCCATTTAGGAAGCAGCCCTTAAAACAGTACAGAAATATTAATATTCAAGACAGACAGCATCTCTGTTGACATGAAATTTTAACCTGTAAGCAATATTTAATAGCCAACACAAAATAGTGTGAAAAGAGCCCCTTACTCTTCTTTACTATAGAAATTCTCCTTATCTTAAACATAAAAATGACATTGGGCAATATCAAGTTCTCATCTTATAAACCAAGGCTCTATAAACTAGGAATTTGTAGATTTTAAAGTAATTTTTGTCATTGCCTTGATCTTAGGTCTTAACAAGTTAACTCTTTCTTTTAGTACTTAACATTCTAGTAATCATTTAGTCCTACTCTAAGAAAGAAATTGAATTGACTAAATTGTGATTATAAAGAATTCTATTAAGTCCTTAATACTTTATACTAGATATACAACAATGATTAACAATGTTTGCTATTGAAAAATCTCAAACTGCACAGTCAAATGACATCCCCTACTCTTCCCTCCTTCACTGTCGTTATAATATGAAATACCAACTGAATTTATAAAGAAGCAAAGTCTGTTTCCAATAATATTTTAACTACCAAAGTGTTTTAAATGAACAGATTTTCCTAGTGGCGTTTGCAAAGGTAAGACCCTTTAGGTTAACTAGTTCCTCCTTGGTCTTCCTGGGTACTCTGATATTCCCTATGGTGGGAAAGTCGGATCCTGACAAAGTTAGACAGTACAAGTATGGGACTTTGGATATGGTTCAGCTTGAGCCTCTGTGACCTTATATTGCACCTCTAATCTAACTGACCTTCACGAAAATTAGTAACATATATGAATCAATGCAAATCTTTCACCATGACCTTAACATCTTAATTAAGGACAGCACTTAGTGATGTGCAAAGGTTGGCCATAGAAAATTAGAATGAATAGAAAAATTTCATAGATGAAATTTAAGCCCTTCTCCAAATGAAGTCATAGGAATACTTATTATTTTATTTTGATGTGTATTAGACAGCATGCCTCGGTACTATCTACAAAATTATAAGTCTGCAGATTTGCATGCTTATAATAGCACCACTATAAACATTCAGAGCAGAAGGTATTGAATATATTGGATAAAATCAGACTTCAAATAGCATACTCATTCCATCGTAAGCTGCTCTGCCTTTTGAGAATTTAATCTGTTGTTGCTACAGAAAAGAAAATGCAAATTGGGCACCCGTATATTCCTTTTTAGCTAGCTTTGTTTTGGAAATGTTCTAAGTTAGGAATTATAAAAACAGTGGTGTACTTTTTCCTCTTATTTTGAAATCTGACCATTCTCCAACCCACGTGCTATTTCACAGCAAACAATTATGGCTCTAGGTTGTCTAATGACAACACATTGAGTTAATGGTGCCTCAACCTTTTTGAGCTAGGGAGTGTTGGCAATATTTTTGTTCACTGTTTCCAAAGGACACTTCTGATTTTCTCTCTAGAATCATAAGTAAACGGTATGTATGGGTTCTCATGTCTTGACCATTTCTCGAAAGATAAAATTTGTAATTTGGGGTGTTATTTGAATTACGGGAACAGAAACTAACTTAAGCACAAGAGGGAATTTGTTGGAATTAGTTGAGGAACACAGAGAATGGAAAGCTAAAGAAGCTTTCAGAAAGCTTTGGAAACCCGATAGCTGGAGCGGAGAGTGGGAGAACATGGCGAGAAGCAAGAGAGTAGGATTGCTTTAACCTGGTTCCTGCAGGTCAATCAAAGCTGGAGAGGGAGAATCAAGGGTGGACCTAAAAGAGAAAACAGAAGATAGCCTGCCTGTGTGTCTACCCTGTGATTAATGAAGGGCAAGCGTGTTTGTCTCAGTCCATTCCAGGACAAGTCCTACCAGCATAATGGGGAATAGGTAATTCTCTGAAAGAAAATAGGGGTGACATTGTCCTGAAAGGGAAACAGGTGTGTGGGCACTGATGACCAAAACTAAAGCAAAATAAAACGAACACCCATGCACTACAAATGACTACTATAAAATTGAAATTTCCACCATGAAACACGCACCAAAAACATTTTATCAATATAGATAGCAGAAATAGCATAAGAAGGCCAAGCACAGTGTTCATGCCTGCGATTTTAGCACTTTGAGAGGCCAAAGCAGGAGGATCACTTGAGGCCAGAGTTTGAGACTAGCCTCAGCAATATAGTGAGACCCTATCTCCACAAAAATAAAAATGAAAAAGCCAGACATGGTAGTGCATTCCCATAGTCCTAGTTACTCAGGAAGCTAAGGGTGGAGGATCACTTGAGCCCACATTAAGGCTGCAGTGAGGTATAATCACACCACTACACAACAGGGTGGGCAATATGAGCAAGGCCCTATCTGTATTAGTCTGTTCTCATGCTGCTAATAAAGACATACCCGAGACTGGGTAATTTATAAAGGAAAGAGGTTTAATTGACTCATACTTCCACATGGCTGGGAAGGCCTCACAATCATAGTGGAAAGCAAATAAGGAGCAAAGTCACGTTTTACATGGTGGCAGGCAAGAGAGCTTGTTCAGGGAAACTCCTATTGATAAAACCATCAGATCTCATGAGACTTATTCACTACCACAAGAACAGTATGGGGGAAACCGCCTCCATGATTATCACCACGTGGCCCTACCCTTGATACCTGGGGATTATTACAATTCAAGGTGAGATTTGGGTAGGGACACAGCCAAACCATATCACTATCTCTTAAAAAATGAAAGGAATAGTATCAGACCATTCAAGGACAGATATTGTATGATTCTGTGTATATAGAATATCCAGAATAGGCAAAACTGTAGAGGCAGAAAGTGCATTAGTGGTTACTAGGGGGAAATGGGGAGTGATTACTAAGGCATGTAGGGCTTCTTTTTGGGGTGATGAAAATATTCTAGAATTAGATAGTGGGAAGGGTTGCCCAATTTTATGAATATACTTAAAGCCACTAAATTGTACACTTTAAAAAGGTGAGCTTTATGATATGCAAATTATGTATCAATAAAAAATATTTTTAAAATCAAAAAACAAGCAAGTATGTAACCATTCAGAAAATGACCAACTTTCAGGTAATAATCTTAGGATGGCAAGCACTCGAAAAGAAGGTGGAAGGCTATTGTGGAGAAGGAAAACAATTAATTACAGGGCTGCATCTTGCTGTGACTCTTGTCTACAAATATTTCTAAGTAGTCCTAATTCTGTGCATCTCAGTTTCTGTCATTGTAAAGCAGGGCATGTGGAATGATTTCAGAGTTGTGCCTCTTAAGAATAATTCTCGTGAAGTTCCAGGTCTGTAAGAAAGCATTACCTTAAAACCCAGTGCCTGAGTCTGGGCTTTCTTCATGGATCCTGAAATGGTTGGTTCTGGAAAGAAACTGTGAGGACAGTGAACACTCACTAGAGCCAGACATGTGTGGATAGACTAGTGTTTCTTAGGCAATCTTGGACCACAGCAGACCTCTATCTTGAAGTTGAGAATGAACTGGCGTTACTTGTCTTGACATAAATGTCTTGTTGATATTCATGTCTGAGAGAAAAATGCTTATTTTGGAATAAAAAAAAAAAAACAAGGCTGGGTGTGGTGGCTCACGCCTGTAATCCCAACACTTTGTGAGGCCGAGGCAGGCGGATCATGAGATCAGGAGATCAAGGCCATCCTGGCCAACATGTTGAAACCCCACCTCTACTAAAAATACAAAAATTAGCTGGGTGTCGTGGTGGGCACCTGTAGTCCCAGCTACTCGGGAGGCTGAGGCAGGAGAGTCTCTTGAACCTGTTAGGTGGAGGTTGCGGTGTGCCAAGATTTCACTACTGCACTCCAGCCTGGGTGACAGAGCGAGACACCGTCTCAAAAGCAAAAACAAAAAACAAAACTTCTAAAACTCTGAACCTGCCCTCTGGAAGTTTCGGCTTTCAGAGAGTGCACTTGATGAGGGAAGATCGACACTTAGTTTAGCTATGAGAAAAAGCCATACTGGTTTTGACTTTCTTTTATTTTCTTTTTTGTTTTGTTGCTTAAAGAATATTTAAATTAACTAAGGATGTAATGATCTTTCATTTTAGTCCAATTAGAAAATGAGAAAATAGCAATATGATGAGAGTAATCCTCAACTCCCTTTCAGTTTCACTCATAGCGTCATAGCACTGGGAGGAGGGACAAAGATGAAAGACACACACACACACACACACACCCCCCACAGTGTTCCAAGTACTCCATGCTTCATATTTAAATGTGGTAGAATCTTTCACGATAAAACAGAGTAACAGCAGACTCCAGAGATATTATCAGGTAGACAATTTAAAGGGAAGAAGATTGAATGTGATGTTGCATATCACTGCCTCTAATTTTGTGTTTCTAATCTTGAGCTTGGCAACTAGATCACCTAACTTGTTACAATTCTGTGCGAAATAGAGGAAGTAGAATAGAGGAACTCTCTGATAAGTACATAGCCATGGTGGATTTGTTATGTGGCATCATATTTATCTGCTGAAGGATCTTTTTAACTTACTTTCTAACTCTCAGTTATAAGCCAAAAGCAGTGTGTTTACCAGAGGCTGAACTTATGGATAAGCAAAGTAATTGTATAGTAGTTGATATTTATAATAATGAACCTGAACCTTTTGAATCACAAAAGGTTGAATATTTGGTAACATTGTCATTTAGAATATATTTACTTTTATTCTTTGAAATTGCATAATGTATACAATAAAATGTTTAGGACATTCAGTTAAATAGAACTGCATTCTGAAAAGTATATTCAAAAAGAATTTACTGGCTGGGTGCGGTGGCTCACACCTGTAATCGAGCACTTTGGGAGGCCAAGGCAGGCAGATGGCTTGAGCCCAGGAGTTCAAGACCATACTGGGTGACACAGGGAGACCCAGTCTCTATAAAAAAATAAAAATAAATTAGCCAGGTGTGGCAGTGTATGCCTGTAGCCCCAGCTGCTTGGGAAGCTGAGGCAGAAGGATCATTTGAGCCCAGGAGATTAAGGCTGCAGTGAACTGTGATGGCACCACTGCACTCCATTGTTTTTGGTTTTTTATTATTGTTTTGACACAGAGCAATGAAGCGAGACCCTGTCTCAAAATAATAATAATAAAACAATTTATTATAGTTTGAAAATTGTTTGATGCTTATATCTTGCAATAAGATTTTAAAATAGTATAGGATTTCATAGATATGAAATACATTCTTCTAGAGAACAAATGTATATGCAACATGTTTTTAATAAGAAACTTAAGATGAAGTATGTATATTAATTTGCTTAAATCCAAATTCTTTGAGCATTGATGCATATTTCAGAGAGGCACACACACACACAAACTAAATATATGTGCATATGTATGTATGTATAATATGCGTGGATATATGTATTCTGAACATAAAACTACCTTGACAAAAAATACAAAGGAAGGAGACCTACAAAAAACAGACTATGAATTAGATTGAATCATACCATTAAGCAAATTGGCATTTCTGTTTTGCTCTAAAAGATCACATCTGTGGTAACTTTGAAGCTATTTGAGATTAATATAAATTCCTCCCTGAACTAGTTTCAACTAGTTCAGATGCTTACTTTTGTGTGAAAATACTACATGTTTATTTAGAACAGATAATTGATGCTTGGGAACTACAATGACTAAATGTGTTTTTCTTCATATTCTCATAGCATCTAGTAAAATACTTGCTCATGGTAGGCTCTCAGTAAGTGGTTGATGACTAAGCGAGTGAACTTATTTATTTAAAGTGGGTAAATTGCTTTCAATTATACTTGGACTATTAACTATGAACTATTAACTATGATCTATACCCAAATTATGAATTATGAAATATAATTTTGAATTACACAGATTAGGAATTTAGCTTAAGCTATGGTGCTTGGGTTTTCTAATAAATATTTATATCTATATGAAAGTATCATTAAAGTTATTGCATGTGAGCACTTCTTGGAGCATAAATCATGAGTATCATGGAAAAATAGATTGTCTCTGGAAGGCTGCAGACAAACATTTGTTTTTCTTATTTTTCAGAATGGTTTCACGCCATTGTATATGGCAGCCCAGGAAAATCACCTGGAAGTTGTCAAGTTTCTTCTTGACAACGGTGCAAGTCAGAGCCTAGCCACAGAGGTAAGACACTGTTTTGTTCCTGTGGGTAAGTTCACATATTTACAGGGCATTTTGAAAACCTGGAGTTGTGAATTTGTCCTACTAGTATTTCAATTGAAGTTTTATGTTTTATATTAATGTGTGGGTTCGTAAGTTTTATGAAATACACTACTATAAGTCTACTTTTAATCTTTAAAAATCTTCTGTTGCATAGATACCCTTTCTGCTCTTAAATGCCCGATTCTATGCTATAATTATGCTATTATTTAAATATTTTACATATTTGCTTGAGAATTCTTTTCTGACTCTTACAATTTTGCCTTATAGGCAAAGGCAATCATTGTTTTGGAATAATTGATGGGAACTGTCTTTTCAATAAAACATTAGTTTTACATTGTTTCTCCAAATTTAAGTTAACCTAATTATAATGATTGAATTTATATATTTGTTAAGTTAACTAATTAGACTTAATTCATACTTATAAATAAAACTACTATACTTTTTTGGAGTCTTGCTCTGTTGCTTTGGCTGGAGTGCAATGGTGTGATCTCAGCTCGCTGCAACCTCCGTCTCCTGGGTTCAAGCGATTATCCTGCCTCAGCCTCCCTTGTAGCTGGGATTACAGGTGCCCGCCACCACACCCAGCTAATTTTTGTGTTTTTAGTAGAGATGAGGTTTCACCATCTTGGCCAGGCTGGTCCTGAACTCCTGACCTTGTGATCCACCCGCCTCGGCCTCCCAAAGTGCTGGGATTACAGGTGTGAGCCACCATGCCCAACCAAAACTATGACACATTTTTAAGTATTAAATAGATGTGGTATTTGAAGAAAAAAAATCTTTGCAGTCTAGAAGAATTATTTAAAAATAGAAAGTGATTTAGGCCATTGGTACTGTCTTAGGTAATGTTGTTTATTTTTTAAACTAATCTGGATGGAAGACTGGAGTCACTTAAGCATGTCACCAGAAATCTATTGCTAATAATAGAGGATCAACATTTGAGTAATTTTTATTTCTAACAAAACAGTGAATTAGGGTAGATGCAGGGTTATCCCTATTATAAACCACTACTCTTGCTTGCATGCTGATGTGCTTCCTAAGTGGCACAAAAAAGATGGCAATAGAGAAACTGCATCTAATCTCACTTAGTTTTTGAGACTATACATTCTAGGGAAACCACTAAATAAATTAAGAGATAGCTCACACAAACAAACAAATATATGAAAAATTCTCATCCTCATTTATAGTCAAAGAAATACTAATTTATTAATCAGATAAAAAAATAAGATCTAATCTTTTTGCCCATGAGACTAAAAATAAAAATTTGATGGGGAGAGGAAACCAGAACTTCCTACAATACGGGTGAAATTGATTGTTGGTTACAACACCTTTACAGAACATTTGGCAGCAACTATCGAATACTAATATTTACAAGCCTTTTTATTTAGCAGTTCCACTTCTAAAAAGTTATATTATAGAAATATTAGATATATAAATATATATTATGGATACATTTGCATTGGGATGCAAAAGTAGTATGCGAGGATGTTTGTCAACACAATTAGTAATAGCAATTTTAAAAAATCAGAAATAATCTAAATTTACACCAATAAGAATCCTGTTTATTCAGAACTATTAGACTTTGAAAGAAACAAAAAAGAAACCTGTTAGTAAATGTTCATATATTTATAGAATAACATGCTGTTAGCACTGTTAAAAATGAGACAAGGCTCTATGTACTGATATAGGAAAATGTCCATAGTAGATTGTTATCGGTGGTTTGCCCTGAGAATTCAGAGGGAGACTTTGAACCTGTCAGTACTGTTGGGGATTTTTATACCCATTTTTTTTTTTAATACCCATCAGTACTTTGGGGAATTTTTATCATGAGAATGCACTATTTTTTTTTAATAGTACTCTTAAAGCTAGTTAGGAAATAACTACTGGTTGATATCAAAATAACAAACGTTTAGCCAGGTGCAAGGGCGCATACCTGTAGTCCCAGCCCCTCAGGAGGCAGAGACAGGATGCACTTGAGCCTAGAAGTTTGAGGATATAGTGCTCTGCGGTTGTACCTGTGAGTAGTCGCTACACTCCAGCCTGAGCAACAGTGAGACCCTGTCTCTAAACAAACAAAACAGAATAAACATTTGCTAGACAGAGAACGGTGCCTCTCTTCACACTCAAGAGTAGCTATTCTAAGCACAGTACGATACACACATGGTGTCCTAGTGGACAGGGGAAATAGAGACAGGCAGAGACTTTTGGTTAAGAGAAAACCCATCCTCATTTTTGGATGGAAATACTAAGTAAGGTAAATAACCTAACAAGTTATTCCATAGCTTTCTTCGTGAAGATGTGATGTACTTTTTTACACTGTGATGTACAGATCACTAAGTATCTCTCCTTTAGAAGCAAACATAACCCCAATTTACTGCTAATAGATTTGAATTAGATTGTAAACCAATTACCAGTAACTCTCAGAGCTCTCCAGTACTTTTTGAAGTTTTCAAGTCCCAAAAAGAAGCTCTACAGCTAACTTGAAGAAAAATAGTACGTGAGATCTTCAAATCACTACTTCAGTCTTTTGGCAAAGGATATATATTTTAAAAGTTTTTATGCCTTTACATTGATTTAATTTCATGTTATGTTTATAGTTTTAAGGGCAAAAACAAACATTGTGTCTAATAAGTCACGTTCGTGTCTTCAGGGAGGTTGCTGTTATATTGCTGTATAAACAACATCTAATTACCTAGAGATGTTTGAACCTTTGAATTTTTTCTCTTCTTTTGGATTATTGGTATTGGAGAATAAGAACAACAACAGGAAATGAGACATTTTATTCAAATGATATCCTAATTACTGTATTGCTCTCTCATTAGCAATAATATTGGTGTCATTTATAGAGAAGTCTGTATTTACAGAACAAACAGTAGGGGGTAATTTAAGAATCCTTTAAATAGCAAGTTTTTAATAGAATCTTTAATTCACTACACGGTGGGATATTGCCAAATTCTTTCAAATGTATTTTTTTCAGTAAGCCTGGCACACATCAAATCTTGTATATATGTATATATGTAGCAAGATTTCTGTATAATTGTGGTTTTTAAAACGTTTTTATATTACTGTGTACTGCATCTCATATCTTTTACATATATATACACACACATATGTATATACACACATATATTTATATATACCTTCCTTTTGCTAATTACCATTCTGAAGCATGCTGTATACTTGTTTGTTCATTTATTCCATGAGTAATTATTAAGCACCTATTATGTTTCAGATACTTCACAAGGTACTGGATATCCTTGAGCAACCAGGGGATGGAACTTTTTACCAGTAGCCTCTATCACATTTCCTTTCTGCTCATTTTTCTCTTAAGGATAACTGCACAAAGCAAAGCACACCATTTAAACTTGGTTTTGAAATAAAATCTGGAGCTGCTAATTTTAGCTATTAACACCTTAGAGCTGGTATCTTTGTGTCTTTAATTGGCTTATGCAGGAAACATATTCTTGTCACTGCTAATCGGCTCAGTTGCAGTTTATTTTCTGGTACAAAGTAGTTTCCTTTATGTATAGGTCCTGTGAATTTTAAAATTCACATCAGCGGAAATGTAGGCATTTTGTTTGGATTCAGAACAGAAGTGGACTGTCATTTTTACCCCTTAGGTTTTATTCAGGTTTTTTGAGTGAGATGCAAAATTAAACCTTAAAACACAATTTTCCTTTTGCCATACTCTCATTTAAACAATGCATTTTTTTTTGCAAAAGTAATACATTACATAAATGAGAAAGTACAATAAAAAGCAAGAAGTCTCTGTTAATTTTCCCTAGAGATAACATTTTACCCGATTGCTTGCATATGTACATATTAGATACGTGTATCTATCTTTTTGAAAATGAAAGTGTTTATTTACATAGACATGTAGACTACTTTTCTTATTATATCCTAAAGTTCCTGTCTTTAGGTATAAACCTATGATATCATTTTGGTGACGTCTTGGATGTATCCAGTCTTTCCCTGTTTGCTGTCTTTCTTAAGGCTTCAGGGAATAACCTTCCAGTTGATTTGGTTATGTTATTGTTTTCCGTTTTCCTGCTGTTTTGGGTAGTAAAGTTAAAAGAAACAGGTGGCATTTAAGCCAGATCTTGAAGCATGGAGGGTAGATGGGATTTGTATACATAGAGAAAAGAAGAGGGCATTCCAGGGTGGGGGAAATAGCATGAGTACTGGTATCAGAGGAGAATTAAGTCTGTATGTCCAGAATCAGTACAGACACTGGCCGAAAGGATTTTATAGGGGATAATACTGAGCAATAAGGTCCCTTAAGAGCTTTAGGTCAATGTTTTTCACATCTTGGATATAAGTATGCTGCTTTGCATTCAATCAAATGAATTAGGAGAGCCTTTCTCTATATGCTAGCAAGGGAAGGAATGTTGAAAGGGATGTTTTAGGAAGACCTAGGTGCATATGTGCTCCTATGTGTTTTCCAAATGCTTTTCTATACCACAGGACTACAGAAATAAATACCATGATCCAAATAAAATAATAAGTCACTTGCATGCCAGTTCTCTTGTTAAAAAAATTAATGCCCTTTTGAGTATATAATAATGAAACCATTGCAGAATTAACAATTTGCAAGCCAGTCCTAGGATTTTCTACTCTATGCTGTTTTCTCTACATTCAGCAACTCCAGGTAATCCACACATTAATTAACTGCAGTGAAATCTGTAGCTGTGTCCCCTTTATCAAGTCCCAGGGTAACACAAACGGAAGATTCAAAATGTATAGAGTATGTATGTGTGCACTTATATTTATTCTAAAGCCATGTTTTAATCAAATTCATAGAAGCACAGAGGAACATGGTAGTTACCAGAGGCTAGGAACTGGTAGTAATGGGGAGACAGGAGGTAATGGTCAATGAAGAGGAATAAGTTTTTGTTTTTATTTTGCTTTTTTTGAAATCTGTTGCACAACTTGGTTAACAGAGTTAGTAATAATGTATTGTACATATCAAAATTGCTAAGAGAATAAAGTTCAAATGTTCTCACCACAAAAAAATAAGTATTTGTGGTGATGAAGATGTTAATTAGCTGGATTTGATCATTCCAGATTATATTCATAATCATAATATCATTTTGTACCCCTATACATATTGATAATTATAATTTTTAATTTAAAATAAAATTAAAAAAGAGAAAAGACAATAACCAGAATAAATAAAAAGAGTCATGTTTTGCATGATCTTTGTGTTGTCTTCTTTCATTGGTCACAGAAGCCAAGAGTCTTTCTCTTAATTCTAGAGACCTTAGTCTCTATAGACCTTTCGTAAAGCAACCATGAGTACAGTTCATGAATTCACATATCCTGACAGAGCAGGAGTATGCGAGGCAACACGGCACAGTAATGAGCCAGACAGACGTATATCTCAGTTTTTAAAAATCCGTGGAAATTTTTACATCTTATTTAAATGAGCTCCTTTGAAAATTTTGCCTGGATTTAGACTGAGCTTGCTTGCTTGCCTGCTTGCTTGCTTTCTCTTCCTTCCTTCCTTCCTTCCTTCCTTCCTTCCTTCCTTCCTTCCTTCCTCTCTCTCTCTCTCTCCCCTCCCCTTTCTCACTTTCTTTTCTTTTCTTTTCTTTCTTGCTCTGTCACCCAGGTTGGAATGCAATGCTATGGTCTCAGCTCACTGCAACCTCCAGGCGTCAAGCTATTCTCCTGCCTCAAGCTTCTCAAATAGCTGGGACTATAGGCCTCCACCATGCCTGGCCAATTTTTGTATTTTTATTAGAGACGGGGTTTCATCATGTTGGTCAGGCTGGTCTTGAACTCCTGAACTCCGGCGATCCGCCCGCCTCTGCCTCCCAAAGTGCTGGGATTACAGGCGTGAACCACCGCACCCGGCCCTGAGATTATTTTATGGATATTGCTATTATGGCAACTTTTTATATGTAGCATTTTTGTACATTTTCAAAATTTTCCTAATTAATGTATATTACTTTTTAATGGAAAACCCAAAACCCATGAACCTATTACAAATTTCTTAGTGTTTTTTACTTTGGTTGTATAGATAATATTTTTTGAAAATATGTTTTCACTTTTCTGTCCATTCGAATATGTTTTTAGTTTTAATAACCCCAAACAAAAATTGATGCTTGGTCACTTGGTTGCCTTCTTATTTGTTATTTAATAAAAAAGAAAATATTCATTGGAGCCAATCTTGACCCATCCATTTATTTGCAGGATGGCTTCACACCATTGGCAGTGGCTTTGCAACAAGGTCACGACCAAGTCGTTTCGCTCCTGCTAGAGAATGACACCAAAGGAAAAGTGCGTCTCCCAGCTCTTCATATTGCGGCCCGAAAAGATGACACGAAAGCCGCCGCCCTGCTGCTGCAGAATGACAACAATGCGGATGTGGAATCAAAGGTGAGGCACGAGGGACACGGGCCTGTCATGCAACTCTCCAGTGTTAGATATGCAAACTTTAAGAGCACTCGGTCTCCCTCTTGGCAAGCTTATGCCATGCCTTTAATTTCAATGAAGGGAAGAAAAATATGTGTCTGAGCTAGCCACCGAAGGCACAGCCTCCCTTCACATGAGAAGCTGGGGGATAAGGGGGATGTGGCCCTATGCGTGCTAAAAGGGAGGCCACCTTGAAAGAAGTCAATTTCTATGCAGTGATGATTTCCTTCCTTTGAATATAGTTTTGGAATATATTCAACACTTCAGCTCAAACATCAGGGTGAAAAATTACAAAATGCTAAAGACAGTGTACACAGACCTCTGGTTGATATCCAAGATGACAGGCCAGGCACTGAGCGTAGATCAGCTGCGGAGAGCATGCCAGCAGCAAGAGAGCCGCAGCCAAAAATTCCCATCGTCTTGACATGTGGTACCTGAAAGTCTCTGTGACGGAAATGTGGCATTTGGACTAGGCCGTTGCATAGCCCATCATTCAGTCTAGCTTTCTTTCTGTGCCTATTGTGCTTTCATCAGAGCTTCCATCCTCATTACTTAGCTGTCATGAGCTTTCTGCAATCCATATCACCAATAGTGAACTAACCGTTCATTTTTTCCTCCTCTTTGCTTCCAAATGTGTTAACCTAGATGGTGGTGAATAGAACAACAGAGGTATATATATATATGCATATACGTGTAGTCTATATCTGCATCATCATTTTCCCATGACTTAGTGCTGCTGCCTCATGTCTCTCCCTTCTTCTTTGCATCGCCTTCTGTAGGCTAGATACCTGCTTTATCCCCAATCCTTCCTCTCCCCAAAGGAGCATGTGCCAGATAAGATAGCAGTAGTTTGATTACCAGGGCTTTCTGCAGCTGAACCTGGTGTTTGAAAGAGAAGAATGAGGAATCCTTGACTCTTAAGGTTATTGCAATAGAGCTGTGTGAGATGAAGAGTTGGATACTTTAGATGTTTATCAGCTATATCTAAAGCTGCAGACAACCCTGTCATTCTACTCATCCAGGACTCGTTTTTTAGGGTTGTGCATGACACTTACCCTCTGTGGTGTCAGCAAAAGGAAAGGTATTTCAGAATGGCGTCAATATGACCCACCCTTCTACAAGACTCAGTGAGATAGCTAGCATGGCTAAGAAGCTTGCTAACAAATTAGAAATGCATCTAGTTCCTATAAGGTTTCAATCTTTGGGGACTGAGTGAATTGCTGCATGTTTTAGCATTTTTTAAGGAAGTAAAATGACCTTAGTATAAACAATCCAAAAATGTGTTATTGAATAGGCATTGGCTAACAAAGAGTTTAATTTGTGGATTCTTCATGGAATAAAATTGCCCATTATATAAAACAAATTTTGTGGTAGTACCTCTTCCCCCCAAAATTGCTTTTGTCATCAAAATTGGCATTTACTGTTGGTTAATTTGAATCTATATCAAATATATAAACTAACTGAATTTTGAGTTTCAATGCACAATTCTATCATCAGTAATAAAACAGTGGCACTAATCAAGCTATCAGCTATAAAGATTTTTCTCATCTCTATCTTAATTTCTTGAAATGTTGGCTTTTATATAGTTCTGTTATTGGATTACTAAAATTGCTCAGTCTCCGCCCTTGGTTCCTCCCTGGCTATTCTTCTGCCTGTATGTTTGGGGTTTATTAGAAACCCTGTGAGCAATTGGCACTGATCGAAACCTAGTACAGAATGGAACATAGACCTCAGCATATTTTGCTTCCTCATTTTTATTTGGGTAGGGTTATGATATTTGCCTGTCAGGCAGGGGGCTGGCAGGAATCAATTGAACGTCTGCTATGTTTTCTTTACAGAGTGGCTTCACTCCGCTCCACATAGCTGCTCACTATGGAAATATCAATGTAGCCACATTGCTGTTAAACCGAGCGGCTGCTGTGGACTTCACCGCAAGGGTAAGAGCACAGCAATGTGTAATGCCTTTAAAGCATTTGAAATGATTTGATACTATCTTTCCCTAACATGAGAAGGTTGGGACAGATTGCCTCCAAGAGTCCTTCCAGTCAGTGAAGGCTATGATTTCTACTCATCCTAGTGTATGTTCTTGCTTTTATGTAGGTGTGCCTGTTTCCTAGCAGGAGAGGTAAACCAAGATCAGGAATGCTAGCTGAAATGGATAATAAATAAATATATAAATACATATATAGAAGATGTGATTCAAGGAATCATGGCTGGGGACAACAAATGGTTCCCTAAGTTAAAATTTCTGAAACTCTTAGAAATTGGTCAGAATGCACTCAGTGCTCTAGAGATCAGGGTCTTGACCTTACAATGGGAATGTTCTGGAATATCTGGGTGAGGCCTAAACTACAGAACCCAAATAATGAGACCATCTTTTGCCTTTATCTTCTGTCCCCTACAAACTTTTGTAATGAGTAACACGGTTATGTAACCTGAATAAGCTCATATCCATTGAAGAAAGGGATTACAATGTCATATGGCCCACTGCACAGCAGGTTGTACATCCAAATAGGGTAGCACTGCCCTCAATTTAAAAACTGGTGTTCAGCTACCATCAGAAACACTGTCAGAAGTACAAGTGAAGCTGGAGGCAGGATGAAGTAGTGGCTGAAAGCCTAGACTCTGACTGAGACTCCTTAGGTTCAGATTTTGGCTTTCACTTTTTTCCCTGCGTCTATCAGTTTCCTCATTTATAAGATGAAATAATATGAATTATGAAATTAAATAAACAGTTATAAAATATCATCCTCTCCCTCACTGAGTCACTGTGAAAATTGAAAAAGATAGCATATGTAAATCACTCAGCCAGTGCCTGACGTAGTATCATCACTAACAGCAGCGGTAGTAGTGTATTAGTCTGTTTTCACATTGCTATAAAGAAGTATCTGAGATTGGGTAATTTATAAAGAATAGAGATTCAGTTCGCTCCTGGTTCTGCGGGCTGTACAGGAACCATGATACTGGCATCAGCTCAGTTCATGGGGAGGCTTCAGGAAACTTAAGAATGACGACAGGAGGCAAAGCAGGGGCAGTCCCATCACATGGCCAGAGCAGGAGCAAGAGAGCAAGAAGACTAGTGCTGCACACTTTTAAATGACCAGGTCTCATGAGAACTCCTTCACTATCACGAGGCCAGCACCAAGCATACGGTGCTAAACCATTCATGAGAAGTCCTTCCCCATGATCCAGTCACCTCCCACCAGGCTGCACCTCCAACATGGGGCACTATGTTTCAACATGAGATTTGGGTGGGGACATACATCTACACTATATCAAGCAGCACTGTTATTTTGAACATAACATTTGAAGTCTTATTTTTTGCTGAAGCTTCACTTCTTAGAAGAGAAATGGAGCTAGACGAGATAGGGAGATAGTGTATAATGCCAGCACCAGCAGTACAGTGGTAGTTGCATCGGGAGTGAAAATAATATCATTTCTGAAGCCGTTCCTGACTGTAAGATGCCAGGCTATGCATTTTATCTCACATATACTAATATAAGGAAAGTTATAATTTATCCTTATTTTACATTAGAAGAAACCTAGGCTTAGAGATAAGAAGTAGCTGCTTTAGGATCACAGTGCTAGCAGGTTGGAAGAGGCAGGATTTGAGCCCCAAAGCTCTTAACCACTATTCTCTCCCCTAGGTAACTTAAAGGGGTTTATTTTACTTTTCCTCTTGTAATTCATTAGTTCTATAAAAATTAATAAAGGCTGAGATTGTACTAATAGAAACGCTGTTTCCTACCCTGTTGTCATGGGCTTGCTGAAAGCCTTCATCCGTTTAAATGACTGGAGAGCGTCAGTCAATGTTATTCACAATTTTTCTTACTGCATTAACTACATCCTTGATGTGGCAGATCCAAGTCCTAGGTTGACACTTTGAAGGACAAAGTTAAGCCCTTCTTTAAGTCAAGTATAAACAGGGTGTGTCAATGTTGAAGCTGAAGTTCATTTCAAGATGCATTCTTCTGGTTTTATTTCTGTAATTCACAGCATAATAAAAACCTCATTAAGTGACATCTTCTAATTAGGACATTTAGAAAATTTATGTCAGGGTGGTGTTTGAAGTTTGTCTTTATGCCTTTGTTCAGAAAATTCCTGATGTTGCTGAAAACAAGAGGATTAGAGAAATGTTTAAGCAATTTAAGAGGACATATTACAGTATTTTCAGACTTTTTCAAGTGATTCTAAAGTGTTCATTTGCATTAAAACAATGACTGTGGTAATTACAAAAGATGCTTATTTATTGATTAAAAATCAGTGGAGACATCAGACCCATGTTGTTAACCTCCCTGAGTTACCATATATGATTTAAAATACTTACACTGTGCTTTTGTTTAAAATATGTTAAAATTCAGACTTTTCACTGATCTAGAAATGCATTTTCCCCAGTCTTTCCTAATTAATGAGGTCTAATAGCATTCTGAGCTGAAGGCTGTGGTGGAATTTGATTTTATTTAATAGGAGGCTTGGGCTGTTGCATATTCCCCAACGAGCTATGCTTCTCTCTGCAGTGGGTGATTAATGACTGGCTTTAGGGTACCTGAGAACTCTTTATAAAGAGCTTAAACTGAGGCAACTGCCAGCTGCCTCAAGCAATCCATTTTAGGTTCCAAATCTGTAGCAATTTTATTATATAATAATCTAGCATCTCCACTTTCATAGTTCAGGGGCTTCTCCCTTCCCAGCTTCCATGGGGTCTTTCTAGGTCATAGTTCTCTCAGGAAGGTAATAGAAATAGCAGGTGAAAGTAAGATGCCCCTGAATGCAGACAGGATCAAATTGTATCCAGTCAGAGCAATAAAGGGAGCATCATTAAGCCTCATTTGCTGAGAATTGGCTGCAAATTGTAACCATAAATCATATGCTTCAGAGCCAGGTTTAGAGAGAGGTATGGACGAGGTGGTTAGAAGTAGATTAAAGAACACCAGCACCCTTTGTCTTGGGGGGCTGCGATTTCTGTTTTCTGCCTGTGACAAAATACAGTAGGGAGTGGAAAATTTAAATCAGTGAAGAAAGAAGTACGGCAGATAAAGTCTTGCAGTTCTTTATAGCACCGTAGACTGAGGGAATGTCCCAGAGAGTGACCACCTGCTAGCAAAGAGAGCTGGGGAAGAGCAAGTATGACAACCCTTCTGGAATCATTTCCTGCATGCAATAGATGTTCATTTCCAAAGCAGATAATAGGCAGAAATAAACGCGATGTGACTGAAGGGAGTACACCATAGAAGGAATTGCTTTCTCTGTTCGTTTGTAGTGCCAACTAATTTATGCAGCAGTAAAGCAGGTCCCAGTCAGTGGTGAATGTGTACCCCTGAGTAGCAGTTCTGGTAACTGATTTATAGCATACTTAACGGTTTTAATAACACCTTTCCTTCAATTTTTATTATGATGTCAATTTTGACTTTTGCATTGTAACTTTACTATGTTTATGTAAGATATGCTGTCTGACATCGTCAGTATTTCCTTTTGGATTATCCTTGGAGATCTATTCAGGCTCATGGGTCTGCTGCAGGGAGTTAATGCAGTAGCTGCTGAATGCTGCAATGCAGCGTCAGCATTCTTCATTCTTTGAACTGAGTCTGCTGAGATGGCACTGACACTGTCTGAATTTATGCATGACCCTTGCTCTCTTTGCAAATCATTCTAGCTCTCTTGGGAAAGAGAATGTAACTAAAACATACCAGAGCTACTACTGATTGTCATTCCAGTAAGGAGCATGTGTGCACTAGAGTAACAAAAGGCCAAATTATATTATGTGGATGCCTGCAAAGTTCCCTTTATTGATTGAAGAAGATAGATTAATACTTTGCTGGCTGAATTTTTTCATCAAATATAATGGACCACCTAATCTAATCTTCACTCTTGTCATTGGCCTTTCTCTTGTAAATTATTATTCAACTTCCCGTTTTGAGAAGATAATTGAATAAAGCATTCTTCTATTAGTCTTGCCATTTAGCACTTCTTGTTTTGATCTCTGAAAGGATTAGGGATTTATGTGTTTGGATTCTACACCTCACTTGTTTCCAAAAAGATTTCGGGTGGTTTACAGATTAAAATATACAGATGTGAAGGAGGGGACCAAAAAAGTAAATGTTACCAAGCAGCAGGAATGAGCCAGTAAATACAATGGAAAATAAATATAGGCCTTAAAAGCTTTGATATATATAGTGGAAAGGGAAGCATAGATAATAGAGTTTTCATTTTTGACAACTGAAATCTTATAGTTACCTATAGAGACAATTTTTGTGTGAAATAACTCAAACATTATTTTTATCATATGAATCCTTAAGAACAGAGAATTATATAGTTATAGCAATATCTTTAATTACTATACTTCAAAAGGCTCAATTCTACTTCCTACTGCCTTTGACTGCTCTATCTCCATCTGTGAAGGCACCTTGCCCAGAGAAGCTGAGAGACTGTGGCCCAGTTACTTAGCTTTATGATGTTCTAGTTGTGTAGGAAAGAACTTGACATGTATGGCACAGATCAATGACTGGTTAACATGTCCATTGGACTACCTTTTTCAAATATTGGGTATTTTATACAAGGTTTTGGTAGGTATTGGACCACATTCAGAATCCTACTAAATCATATAAAAGGTTACTTTATTTAAGATATTTTAATGTTTGAATAAAATGAGAGCAATGTTTTTAGATACTTGAACTACTAAGCCTGTTTGGTGGAAAAATAAAAGTATTAGACTTCTCTTCTGCACTTAGACACTGTTGGTAGGAATATAAATTAGTTCAGCCACAAATTGGAAAGCAGTTTGGAGATTTCTCAAAGAACTTAAACCAAACTACCACTCAACCCAGCAATCCCATTATTGGATATGTATTCAGAAGAAAATAAATTGTCCTACCAAAAAGACACATATCCACATGCTCACTGAAGCACTATTTATGGTAGCAAAGACACAGAATCAACC